TGCTGTAACAGTAGCATTCCAACTGTCTGGTAGAGATGATAAGAGAATTAAAGCTCGAACTTCATCATCGAATTCAATTTCCACTGAACTCAACTGAGTTGTGATTGTGTTGAGTTCATTTAGGTGTTGTGCCATTGATGCCGCTTCTGTCATCCGCAAATTGAATAATCTCCTCATCAAATGAACTTTGTTTGAGGCCGATGGCTTTTCATACATACTGGAGAGAGCCACCATAAGACCCGTCGTGGTCTTTTCCTTTGCTATATTGAAAGCAACATTGCGGGATAACGTCAGTCGGATAACTCCGAGGGCTTGTCTGTCGAGAAGAGCTCAGTCTTCATTCTTCATGCCCTCTGGTTGCTTTCCTGAGAGGGGTTGATATAGATTTTTCTGGTACAGAAAATTTTCAATCTGCATCTTCCAAAAGCCAAAGTCTGCACCATCGAACTTTTCAATTTTCACATTCACTTCGTCTGCAGCCATCGTTCCCACTCGAATCTGGCTTCTTTGGATCGTTCTGACAATTTTCGCGAACCGCCGTGTATTAGAACACCTCTGTCGACAAATTCGTATCACCGACAAAAATTCACTATTCACGAAATTTACTTATCACGTGAATAGTAATGAATAGTAATCTCACAAAAATTGACAAAATTCACAACCAAAAGCTCTGATTACCAGTTGTTAGGAAATAAACAGAGTACGAGTAATTTCCCTATAACCATATTAGTGAGAATGCGAAATAAAAGCAGAAAAATAATACCCAAAAAATTGATAACGGAGTTCAGCCAATTGTGCCTACGTCTCCGCACTGCTACAGATCTTTTACTAAGAGAGAAATTTATAGGTGTTTACAAAACACTCACTACTCATAAGAAACTCTCTAGTATTGGGAGAGAAATGATTTGGGATTTGGGATGATTTTGAAGCTAAATGAGCTAGGGTATTTATAGTTGAAACTTAGGGACTAATCTTTGAAAATACCCTAAAGTGCAATGACTAAAGTGAATTTACCCATTCCTATTTTCAACAAACATCTACCAAACTTTACCAAACTTTGAAAAATATTTTTCAAAGAAACATTTACCAAACTTTGAAACTAACTTTTAACATTGACAGGGTTATCTGCAACTCTCCTTGGGATGAATCTTTTCCTGAATCTGTTGTCCTTCATCTTCTTCGCATGCGCTCTAATCACATGCCTATTCTTCTATAGGTTGGTGGACCTCATCTGCGTCCTTCCAAATTCCTTTTAGATACTTTACAAGTTGGCATTCTCATATAGACTTCCATCGTATGATTGAGGATAACTGGGTTTCGAGCAATAACCTTTCTGAAACTATCTTTAATTTCACTAAAGTAACGGATACTTGGAACCAATTTCTTTTTGGCTACATCGGTAAAAAGAAAAGCTCTCTTATTGCTCACCTTCGAGGTATTCAGTGCGCCCTAAGCATTCATTACTCTGGGTTCCTTTCTAATCTTGAATATGATCTTTTTACGAAGCTTGAAATTTGTAACCCCCTCAGACCGATGCGGATATCCCGATCCGATCTGGAGTGTCATATTAGGGTCACCGTAGCGACCCATTGTAAAAATAGTAGAAAATTTAAAACTTTTATTAAAACATGTAACTCATAATTGCTTTATCAACATTCAGAAATAAAACATATTTTCAGACTCGTATATAAAACAAAATACAATCTACATGCCCCCTAATCACATGTATCATACTCTGAAAACAACGCCGGAAGAACTACCTTACTGATATCGATAGATGCACTGGTACAATTCTTTTAACCTGCAATGTTGAGTAATAGAGTGAGCTTCGGAAAGCTCAGTAATACAGAACTACCAGATGATGCTACATGACATATAGATAAATGGAAAGCCATATAATTTCCTTATTGAATCATACGTATACCAATTTGTAGAATAATTTGGGGTTCCCTTAGAAGTTCATCGAGTAGAAGCCCTGAATCTCAGTTCATAAGAAACCTTTCAAAGTATGACATTTTCAGGAGATCGAATAGGATGTCTAGTGTGTTCCAACAGTATAATAAAATCATAATAGGTACACTTATCAAATGATAGTTCAGTAAATCTCATAAAATCATAATGAAATTTAACTTTTGAAAATCATAGTTTAAACTCTTTTCTTGTACACCATCAGTAATTTCCAAAACTATTTTCCATAAAGCTTACTCTAAGCACACAGGAAAAAGAAAGCCAACCTAAGGATAAGCTTTATAGCTTGTATCCTTAAGCCCGTAAGTCCAAGTCCATATAACTTACCCAAAGCACACAGCAAGGGAAGCCAACCTAATGTATCTTGGGGCCCCAAGAGTCACATTAGGCCCATTCTGTTTATTAGCTTGATTAGAGCTATACTATTGTAATTCAATCCAAAAGTTCAATTGCACCGTGAAACAAATTTCATAAATCATCACATTAAAATGGTGCATCAATAAAACAGTAACCAAAGAACTCAGTGTACCTCATATTAAAACCAATAAAACAGTTCAGTAATAATTAGGGAACACACTAGAGAATCCAAGTATTTTCAGAGGCCATTGTAGTTATCATTTTGGATAACATGAAACTTATGAAATTTGATTGAATTCCAGGAATAAGGTCCTATTGAGGAGAATCGATTACTAATCGATCTAGCCAGACATTTAAGGTTGATACATTAGAATCCCACTATATTTTCGTGTGCATTAGGAAAACGTTCAGGAACCTTTATACATAATAATTCTAAATTCGGATTTACTACGAGTGATTCCATTACCCAAACAATCAGGGGTATTCATGAATATACTTTGAATTCATAGGATTTCAGCCCAATTGAACCAAATGAGATATTCAGAATTTTTTCCTTATGCGTTACTTGTTTTTTTTTCAAACATGACCGAAGTGATTTTAGATGAAATATAGAATCGAAGATTCAAGTCATTTATAATCTATGACTATCGATCATATTATCAAACAACTCGAGTTACACAACTCTCAAACTGATGCATGTCAACAAGTCAATTCATTATCCTTCCAGTGTACTCACTCTTTAATACCATAATGCAGATCCATAGATCATCCCCATAATCATCACTGAATAAATCTTCCGACGGTCTTTATTTCATTTCCACGTTTCAACAATATCAGGAAATACTTACGTACTTGATCCATGGCTCATAACCCATAATGACAATTCATCATGTAAGTTCAACAGTGTTTCCAAACTCATCAAATCACCTATTTAATCCTTAGTCATTGATGTTACTTAGTTCGTTTGGTAAGCAAGTCTATCTCAATTACTTTAAAGTTTTCCAGAATAATTCAGACGTTTTTGAATTTCAAATACACGTTGTACTTCATTTCAGTTCATTTTATTCATATAATAAAGTTCTTCTGGTATTCGTGGTTGATTTGACTCACGAATACCCACTTATTAGTACTGTATGCGCTCTAGAGTTGAGCTGAGCCAAGTACTTCCAGAATTATCATCGATCCAAATTTGAGAAGATGAACAAACATTCAAGTGGTACTTAAATCATTCAGGTAATGATATAACACTAACGTTGGTTGATCACTTAAACTGCGTCCCATAACTTTTAAGAGCAGTACAACATCCATGTTTATTTGGATTCCTTAATTAATCCAAGACATTTACTTATTCTAGGCCAATAGGGTATTTTGGTCATTTTAGTGCTCAATATTTTTCTATTCATTTCAAAGCTTGAGTATATCCATTCATTCCTGAGCTTGGTGACATTCTTGAGTCATTTCCATTCCAGGGGTATTTTGGTCATTTTACAATTCTAGAATATTTCAATCATTTCCTTCCATCCGGTCTTCAGTCCTTTCGAACAATTCTGACAGCAAAATACCTCCGATAAATTACTCTTCAAGTATTTACTCCTTATTCGAATATTTTCGGGTCAAGTGTATTCTCAGATTTTACAAACGGAATATTATAAATTTTTCTGTACAAAGACATGATCTTAACAATTTAATTCGTACTTAATCAAGTTAAGTACAAATCCTCAAAGTACTTTCTCATACAGGGTCAATTCGGACTATTTTATCTCTCAAAGGCATTTTCGTAATTTCTTAACCAGATAATTTCGGTATTAACTCTTAAAAAAATAATATAATTTAGAGATCCTATGATTTATTGCTTTCTTGAACATTCTCTGATCTTGAAATGATTCCCTTAACAGACTTCTAGTATCTTGCACAAACCCTCTTGGAGTTAAAATTGATTATCCAAATTTTCTAAGCAAACTAGCATTCCTTATACACATATGTAGTTTTATCAGATCAATAAGTCTTTTCAGAGTTATTAATCAACTCTCAGGGACAATTCTTATCATTTTACAATCTATGGGTATTTTCATAATTTTACCTAATCGATATATTCTCATAATTTATCATACAATTACCTTTAATGAGATAAATTATAATCTACATATCCATGGTTGATTCATTTATCACTTAATTTCAGAACATGTAATTTAATTGAGAAACCATATTGAATCCAAAGATAAATCATTGAAAACAGCTCACCGGGTACGAATTTGGCAAAACGAATTTCGGTTTTGGACTCAAGACGTCGATAAAACCCAAACAATAACTCTTGAATTCAAGCTCATCAATCTAAATTTCTAACTTCCAATCTTTATCTCAAGAACCCAAACCTTCAAATATACGAACCCAAATATAAAATAAATTTCCTCGCCATAAAATAAATTATTAAAAATCCTTTTTATAATAGAGGCACATAACTGACCAAATTAAGAACTCAAAGAGCCAATTTAATACTTATCTACCAAGGTGAGTGACCAAAATAATCTTATTCAAACCATTAGACAACATTCATAACTTTATAGAAACTAGAAGACAAAGTTGAATTCTCACCAAACTTGGATGACTCATGTTGTGATTTACCCTTCATCCTTTATTAACTTTTTCAAACAGCCCACGTGCTCTCTCTTTTCTATTCATAGTTTTCTTATTTCCTTCCTTCTTTCACTCATCAATTCATGCATGCGTTCAGGGTTCTTTGCAGCTTCTAATGTAGTGTCCAAAATAAAGATAAGGAGTCTAGGCGCAACCGCATGAGGGCGAACGATAGTGACTATGGAGAAAGGTAGGGAAAGGACGAGATATCCACCAACTAGTGCTATTGTAATCACACAAAACATGAATGTGGGAAGATCATCATAACTGGCTTCGAACTGTAAGAATTGGGTGAAGAAAGTAAGCGTTTCATCACTAGTTCTCATGGTGGCAACTGTAGCTAAAGCTGCAATAATGGCTCCTAGTATTAGAAGGAAGTCAGAAATACCCAACCCTTTCTTGTATCCGCTCTTTTGCTCCCTGGCAGTAGAAATGAGAGGCGCTTTGCCTTTTTCAACGGTACTCAACTCCGGGACATTAATGGCTGAGTGATCTTCGCTCTTCATTCAATTTTTTTGGGAGGTAAGAGAGAGATGAACCCAGGCGAAATGCTCCACACTGCCAACACTATCAACAAAATGTTTTTGATTTAATATGGTACAAAGAAACCCCAATCCCCAAGAAGCTGGTCAGCAAGAACTCCCAAAAACCATGTTATCCCAACTACTGTGAAAAGAAATGTTGCATCATTTCAAACACTTGGAATTGCAATATTTTTTGCATTTTTAATACTGAGGCTAGTCAACTCCCGAAGAGATGTATGTATGCTTATGCGTATGCAAGCTAACATTTGAGTGATCACTTTTCCCAAAACTTCAGACTCGATATCGGAGACTAACCGTACGACGAGAGACATACGACTGTGAACTCCATTTCTTGGACCATCCAGTTTCAGTAAGTTGAATCAAGTGCCTCTTTCACGGCATCACTGTCTTTCTTGGAAATGAAATATTCAAGAGAGTTGAGGTCAACAAATGAAGACTGTCTCTCTTTAGTAGAATACCTCTGGTGAGATCAAAGGCGGTGACAGAGAGATATGGATAAGGATAGGGTGTTGGGGCAGACACTTGAGGAAAGTTTTCAATGCAAGTGGATGAATAATCCTTATTTTATTTCCTATCTCACCCAACAATTTATCCGTATCCTACCTAATTCATTATCCTCAATTTGTTTAATAAAATACTGGTCTGATAAAAAAAATTATTTGCCAACCAAACTTCATATCACTTCACAATAACAAAATAATTTATTCTAGAAATCTCTTAAATTTATAATAACAAAGGAGGACAAAATTATAACTAAAGTCCATGAATTTTCTCCAAAAATTCTTTTGAACCCAATACTTTAATTAAAAAGTTATTTAATTTCCATATTTAATATAGAAGAAACATAACCCCTAAATTGGGGTGTGACAAAATTGCTCTTACGAAGAATTGCTTTGGTGCCAAAAGTCTAGGGCCGATTGGATCATTATGGGAGACAAAAATACAAAATACTTTCACAGAAAAATCATCTTATACAAACAACAAAATAACATCTCGACTCTCGAGTTAGGCAATAGGGATAATGACACCTTAAAAATTGAGGTTGTCAACTATTCCGTAATCTTTTCTCACTTGATGATAACCCTCAAAGACACTTTCCGATCAAGGGTGCCTTCCCTTATATCCCTCGTTCAGCCATACATACCCTTGATGATGTTCTCTCCACCGACGAAATTCATGCAGCTCTTAAGGACATGGCTCTACTAAAATCTCTGGGAATTGATGGTCTCCATGCTGATTTTATCCAAAAGAATTAGAACATTGTTGACCCCTCGATATGCTCGACCATTCAAGACATTTTCAATGGAGAGCCTTTGGAAGCTGGCCTCAACCGAACTCTCCTTGTCTTGATTCTAACAACTTCTACCCTTGAAACTTTTGGTGGTTTTCGCCCTATCAATCTTTATTCAGTGATCTACAAATTTCTCACAAAAGTTATTGTGCGCCATTTAAAGCCTATCATGCCAACCTTGATCATGGCCAACCAAACCAGTTTTGTTGCTGGTAGCAACATCACTGAAAATATCCTCGCCAATCAAGAAGCTATTCACTCCATGCGCACTTCCAAATCCAAACAACGATGGATGGCGGTCAAATTTGATCTTGAAAAAGCCTTCAACCACCTTAGATGAGATTTCATCAGTGATACTCTTTATGATGCGGGTTTCCACCAGATATTGTCCGCATTATTATAGACTGTGTCACCTCATTTTCAATACAGATTCAATGAAATGGTGAACATACCACTGCCTTCTGCCCTGAAAGAGGCATTAGACAAGGAGATCCTCTCTCTCCCTACCTCTTCGTTCTTGCTATGAAACGTCTCGGTCATAGCATATACTCAATCAGGACCGAACCAATACATGTGCCTGATGGACGACGGCCCAGGGCAGCATGTAGGGTCGGGGCATCAGTTTCTAATATTGTGACCAGCCCACCTTGTGTAGGAATAAATCTGGCATGCTTCTAATATTGCAGTCAATTCCTCCTCCGTTGGATTTAACACTCCATTCGATCTTGAGAAGCGAATAATAGTCGCACCGTTGAGATCACGAAGAATACCCGCAATGTCGGCCTTGCCTACACATCCTTGAACAGCTGCATCGACATTCATTTTGAATTTATTTGCTGGAGGAGCAGACCAGGAGCCAAAGCTGGGTCTGCTGGTGCTGGAAATATGTTTTAGAAGTGAAGATGCTGGATGACTTCTAGTGAACTCACTAATTGACAAAATTGAATTCGGCCAATTGCTTTTAGCCCATGTGCCAATCCTTAGTACAACAATGTCAATTACTTGGAAAACTTCACACCGTTTATTATTGAAGATTGCTTCATTGCAGAAAAGCCAAATGGTTTATGCATTGACAAAAAAAGCAAGCTATCAGAGTGTACGAAGAGACAGTTTGATCGGCACTTGTTCTCACATGATAAGAAAATTTTCTAGGGACTCAGAGATAACAAACCGAAACGCGCACCAAAATTGCCAAATCCTCTATGAAACTTCACAGTGTCAGAATAAAGGTTTAACTATTTTCAGGCTGTTTTTATATAATACGCAAATAGACGATGCTTGCACACTTACACCACGCTTCAACAACTCAGACCAGACAGGAATGTGTTCTTGAACGGCTCTCCACACAAACGATTACACCTTTTGAGGAGCCAAACCTGACCAAACTAACCTCCACAGTCTATCTGCATTAGCTCCAACCGATGCTACTTTTAAACAAAAATCTTTGGGCATGTAGAAGCCAGAAGAGTTACCTACCCACCTCAAGCAGTCTATACCCACTGAAACTCTTGATGTGTTGGTTATTAGGGTTAGAAAATGTTGCCAAAACTCAAATTCCCAATCAAACAATCGTCAGCGTTTTTCCCAAATTCACATATCTTACCTTCCTTCTTCACAGCGTTTGTCTATTATACGGTACAAGTATAGGGGCATAAAATTATTATCTCACACAGGACATTAAAACTCATTGGACCAGCCCTGTATTCAATGATTTCTTATGGCACTTAGCAATCGTTCAGCTTTGCTCGTAATGGCACCCCGCTTTCCCATCTCTTTTTTGAAGATTATCTTATCCTTTATACCAAGGCTAATATGAACCAAGCAAATACTCTTGACGATTTCCTTACTGAGTTTGGTTACTACTCTGGGCATCGTGTCAGCAAACAAAAAACAAAAATCTATTTTTCCCCTCCACCGACTCTGAGCTAAAGTCCTCGATTAGCTCTAGACTGGGCTTCTAGATTGTTGATTCTCTTGGCAAGTATCTTGGTGTCCCGGTTATTCATAAAGAATACGATCCTCGGATTATGACTTTATCCTTGATAAGATGAAAGCTTGGTTGAATGGTTGGGCCGTTAAATCTCTTTCCCTTGCTGGTCGCATTATCCTCGCCAAGTCCGTTCTCTCTGCCATTTCTATCTATTTCATGCAAACGTCCCTCTTCCTAAAAAGCGTTTGCAATGAAATCAAAATACTCCTTAGGAATTTCATCTGGAGCTCATCCTCTAATTCTTCTAAGGTCTCTCTTGTTAACTGGGATTTTCCTTGTCAACCCCTAACTTGTGGGGGCCTCAGTTTTCAATGTGTTTTCAATCATGACAAAGCGTTCATCATGAAGATTGGGTTTACCTTCATCACTAAACCGGACACGTTGTGGGTTCAGTTCATACGCCAAAAATATAAAGTGTTTGATAGAATTCTGTTAGACATTCATCGAAACGACTTCTCCTCCTTTTGGCGCTCTCTCGCTAAGGTTTGGCCCGAGCTTCTTCCCAACGTTGCCTAGAGCCTGGGTAATGGCAATCAAATTGATCTCTGGAACGATATTTGGGTTCACTTCCTTGGTCCTTTACGTGATCACGTCCTTAACCATGACTGCATGAAAGCGTTCATTTGTTTATCTGATCTCACTAATGAATCTAGGAAATGGAACATTGACATTCTCAATTCCATTTTTACTCAAGCTGCTATCCCCCATATCCTCTCAGTTAGATGCCCTTATGCTTCAGATATTGATGATGTCTGTCATTAGAGATGGGTACCAATCATAAGTTTGAAGTTAGCTCAGCGTACAAGATCCTTGTTTCCCACCTCTATAATGAAACTGATCTTATATGGAGACATTACTGGCATCTCCCTATCCCTCAACGGATCAATGTCTTTATTTGGTTAGCCTCTCAACAGAAAATCATGACTAACCTAGAGCGTTTCAAACGTTCCTTATCTAGTGATCCCGGCTGCAATTTCTATGGCTCTACTCAGGTTAAACCACTATCCATGTGTTGAGAGACTACCCCCATGCAGCTGTTGTTTGGCGTCAGATACACCTTCCCTCCTCTCAACCCCACTTTTGGACCTCTGATCTTCGAAATTGGCTTTCCAACAATCTATGTTCTTATGCTAGTTATTCTTCCCGGAATGATCTGAACACTCCATGGAATCTTCTCTTTGCTTCTCTTCTCTGGAATATTTGGAAGAGCAGAAATGATTATGTCTTCAATGGCTCCCCTAACCCCACTACTTCAATTATCCAAAGAAGTGTTGTTTGGGCAAATCATTATCACCAGCATTGCTCTCCCATGCCCCACAACGACAATCATGAAAAGACTAAACATGCTCATTGGTCGAACCCTCCCCAGTGTTGGATAGCACTCAACACCGATGGCTCTGTCAACACTTCCAATGGCAAGAGCTCAATCGGTGGATTTTTCAGAAATGATAGCGGCTCTTGGATCTTCGGTTTCTCTCGTTCCATAGGCATCGCGGATCCATTACAAGCTGAGATTTGGGCTATTCATGATGGTTTAAACATTGCTTGGTCCCTTGGTATTGAATTTTTACAGGTTCAATTCGGACTGCTCATTGGCTGTCACCCTCATCAGCTCTTCTCACGCCCATATCAGTAATCACTCCCTGCTTCCGGCCGTTGACTCCCTTTGACACCACGGAT